CTAGGAAAACTTAAAATAATATGCCAACAATACTGTCGACTTATTTTTAACCTTTGAGAGTTTTCTTTTTGTAAGATGTTGTCAAAGTGTCAAACTCCCTACTTGTTCTTTTTGGAACATATAAGTGAATAAGAACTCATGTTGACAAACTTAACATGGGGTAAATACACCCTGCACCCTCTCCTTTCATTTCTAGAACCACTCTATTGTAGGACCACAGAGCTGCTAGTGCAAAGCCTATCTGAACTACTTTAGCCTACCTTTTTTAATATGGTTGGAATAAACTCAATGAACTTCCCTTCAACCAAGATAGATTGAAATAGTTCAACCCAGCTTTTACTAAAAGAGATACATTTTAAGTTTCAATTAATATCATATGTCTTTAACCAATAAAGTCGATTATAATAGCTCTCAGATGGTTTTAAAAAAAGAAATAACTTACAGTGACTGCAAACTCATCACATTTTTCATCTGTTTAATATTTTGTGTGTGACATTGCAGCCTTGATGCCACTCGAGATGATGGCTCGCTTGGAAGGCTTATTAATCATGCCATACCCGGAAATGCTGATCCTAAACTTAAAGTTATAAATGGTACTCCCAAAATCATGTTCTTTGCTAAATGTGAAATCAGCATAGGGACACAAATAATGTACGATTATGGAGAGAGGAGAAAAGAAATGTTACAAAATTACCCCTGGCTTCAGAGGCCAAATGTCACATTTACTATGCGGTTGCCCGAAGTTATTCGAGTTCCAGTTGAGGCTGAAGCTACGCTAACAGTAGAATTATCCCAGCCTGATGTTGAGGTCAAATGGTTTAAGTAAGTATTTACAGCTACTCAAATTTTGTTTTAAATAAATTTAATGAACCTTTTTCTTTTCAATTTATTTTATTGGTAAAGAAGTATGTCCAGAGGGCTAATGCCCCGTTATGGACTCATTTGCAAAATACAACAAATTAATTTTTATGCAAATCATTCTTACAGGAAATCTGAAGAAATCAAAGAAACTGAACGCTTTACATTCTTTTCTGAAGGAACTATCCGCAGACTTGTAATCAGAAAGGTCAAAATTGAGGACCAATCAGACTACAGTTGTGTCATGCTAAGTGCCAAGACATCCACAAAACTAATAGTAGAAGGTGGGTTGCTGCTTGTTTTATTATGTAGGTCTCTGATCTCATGGATTACTTTTGTCTCCTGTCTAATCATCCCCCTATGTTTAGTGTGTCAAGCCATTCCAATAATTGAAGTACCTAAGAATGAGTACAAAGTAAAGAAGGGTAGTGATGTATCTATGGAAGTCAATTTCATTTCTACTCCACCTCCAACAGACGAATGGTCTGTGAATGGGACAGTAATAAAGAAATCTAATAAAGTATGTATTCTAATCTTTTGGTTGTTTTTTAAATCTAAATATTGAATTTCAATTATTTTCTAATTAAATCCAATTCTGTAAATAATTTGCAGGCCATTCCAGCCTTGACCGAAAGTTCAGCCAGTCTTACCATTAAGAAGGTAGAAGAAAGTGATGTTGGCAGCTACAAAATTAAGCTCAAAAATA